ATCTCTCGACAAGTCCGTTCTAGCAACCCTACGGTCTGATTCCCCTTGACATTTGGAGTGTCGCGGGGTAGTCCAAAAGCGGTCCTTTAGCCAAGACAAGGTGTCCACCTCCTGGGGGGATTGGGGGGCCAGTCGTGCAATTTGTTCTAAAGCCATGACCCGCCAAGGAAGGAAGGGATTGAAAATAAGTCTCTCGTTCCATTGTATTGTCACTGTTGTGGTATGTCTGCCCAAGTCCAAAATTCATAGCCCTCCTTTATCCTTAGTTGAATGAATGACGACCATGCCACTCTATTTATGACGTTAAAAAACCTACTATTCCCTCTCCATAGCCATGTCGACATCTGTTTCTTTAGGGCACAAACCGCTTCTTTGCTTAAGGCTCGTATCACTGACCTATACTAGAGGGAAGCCAAGCGCGGGTCGCAGAATGGAATCATCATTGGATGTCAGCTTGCCCAAGGTTGTCATCATGATGCCCAACTCTCTAATCGAGGTTGTTTCCGGCAGCCACTTAACCTGCGGTAGCTCGGGGGGGCTCACTCCCTGGTGGTAGATCCACCATCCTTGTGTCTTGCTTCCCCAATTGATTGTCGTGTCAGACACTGCCCTAAACGTTCCATTAGTCTCCCGATCTCTTCCATATTTTGCAGGGAGGTGTCCACTATGACAATTAAGTCATCCGCAAACATAGAGCAAACCGAGATCGCTTCCTCTTGGATGGTGGAGACCCGGAGTTCTTTGATATCCTTGTCAGGACGAAGGTTGGCAGCCAGCACTTCCATCAATATTATGAACAAAAAGGGGGCCAAGGGGTCCCCTTGACGGACCAATTTCTGTAAGGAGATTTCAGGAGCTAATAGCTTATTTACTTGGATCCGTGAGGTGGCGTTCTGGAATCCATTTTTGGAAGTTCAGACCAAAATTCATTTTTTCCATGCATTTATCTAGGAATATCCAATCGACGTGATCGTAGGCTTTCTCAAAATCTATAAAGATCACCGCCACATTGCATTTATCTTGTTCGGCTAGTCTGAAAACCTCATTTACCAAAAGTATGTTATCCTGGACCCTTCATGAACCTTGTTCGGATAGGATGGATCATGTTACGGACTCCGCCAGGGCTCGATCCTTGGTCTATCTTTTGCTGTTTCAGTTGCATCCCGTTTTCGGCCTGGCACCCTTTTTCCAAACCCCTCCTTTGGTACCGTAGGATTTTGGACAACTGGCGCCATGCTGCAATTCGGGCG